TGGAACTTGTCTCCAGAAAACTCCTTACCCATTGAGACTTTCGAATCTACTGCTAAGGTAAATGCTTAGAGCAGATCAGCCTCCTCCCCAACCCTCTAGATAGATCCTACCCAATTTCGCCGTGAGCATGCGTCTGTACTTAGCCACGAGATGTGGAAGCTCTACCGAAGGCGAACCCACTGACACACTACCTTTATAAAACCTGGTGGATTAAGTAAGAATAGTAACGGAGCTCGAAAGAAGTCGTTCAGTATCTCTTTTTCGTTGATCCGCACAGCCATGATGTGATCGCTGATCCTGTTCACAGCGGAGACATAGTCCTTGAGCGACTCCGCTACCGCTATGGCCACGCCGTTCCGCTTGGTGTCTTCTCCATTGTAGTAGAGCTTGACACCTTCCCCGATTTCCCTGGCCTTAGCACCTTTCCATCGCGTCTCCTGAAGGCATAGGACTTGGATATTCCTGCGCGTCATCAGATCAGCAACCTCTCGGGACTTCCCAGTTAGCGATCCTACGTTCAGAGTCCCAATTCGAACTAGCTTCTTTGGCCGAGGCCGTTCACTCCTCGGTAGCCCTCGCATACTGACCACAGAACTCGGGCGGGGGTTCTGCGCGCCACTTCCGGGTGACGTCCTAGCTTTATCACTGATTCTTTTTCGACTTTAGACATGCTTGTTGTGACGGGGTCTTCATTAGCCGGCCTGTCAACCTCTGAGCTCGGCAGGGATCGAGTTCGCAGGTTTCAGAGGTGCAAACATGAGTCTACCCTCCTAACTCCTCGGCTAGCCCTGCCTAGAAATTCCTACCATTGTAGATGCCTTTTGCGACAAATCAAACTTTTTCTCGAATCTGATACGAAATATTCTTCATCTGTTCGTTCTCTAATACCGTAATTCAGCACTGTCCACCACATCCTCTGATTCTCTCCGAGCAACTGTAATTGTTATTTCTAGCCCACAACGACTTTTGTTACTCTCCCACCATTCAGTTAACACCACTTCACGTTAAACGTGAAGATGCATCATTGAAACCGAATATGCTTGTGTTGCATGCAGATCCCGCACACAACATACCGCCCTTGTCATGGCTCCAACGGACTTTTCTCTTCAGCCACGTATTCCTTGCAATTAAAGAAGATTTTGGTCTCGAAAAATCTACGCTAACCCTAGTTTTGTTTGTTAACTGCTGTTTTAATGCCGCAGTTCGCGTTGCGAATGTTTCACAGTAATACTGGGTTGTGAACAAAATTTTCCCCCCAGCGGACCTAGACCCGCACTCCTTCCTCTAGATCTAAGTGATCTTCCTCGGCTTCCTCTCACCTGATGAACTTCTCGCGCCAATTTGTGTAACTTTTTGAGCGAATAACCAACCAATTCTATCCACAGTCCCGTGCTTTCAAACTCCAGACGTAAGTGAAAGTGACAAAGCTCGTATACGAACCTCATTCATGTCCACCCAAACCTCTATAGCCCCTAGCATCCGAGTACGCAATTGCGCTTCAAAACAAAAGGAGGAGCAAGAATTCTCTCACTGAGTTCAAACTTCATCAACAGTTGCATCTCACCTTCCATCAATTTTCGCTTTACTTTCTCTCACTTCTCTGAACCCTTTCGCACATTTATTTTTGTCGCCACAGCAAGACAAGAGAGCAGCCTTTAGGACTAATCCTAAGAGGAGCAGGAACTTTGGGAAGATTGGAAATTGCTCACTCATCCTAAATTTTTCCTCCCCCGCATAAAGCTTGGCTCCGTTTCTAACAAAAAGGAGATGTTTTACGTAGTTTTGAATGCGTTGTCACTACAATACCCCAGTATTTTGCGATAGCACCAATTTTTGATTAGGTTGTCCCATTAATGGTGTCGCTTTTTCTCAAACAGAAGGTTTTTCAACCAATATTCCACTTTTTCATGTCACGGCATGCGTCATTCAAAAAAGACTGATCTGCTCTACAATAACAATATGTTTTGCTTCCACCGCTGTTCCAGAGTTTTCAAATTTTAGGCCTGCAAAATGGGAGGTCCAGCCGACAAAAATTGACCAAACCGACAACTAGCTCTAACTTTATTTCCCTTCGGAGAAATCAATCAATGATGTACCCTCTACTTACCATGACCTCTTCTGAACAGTCCACTTTTAGGTCGCCAGAAAAGCCCTGTCATTTTTCTTCCCGAGTACTGTTTTTGTTTACCGCTAAATCAGAGGGTTTTCGAACTGAAATTTTTTCTCCAAATCCCACTAATTTTTACCAAGAGTATCATCATTCGTTAGCTTGTTTTCTGCTCCACTAGGCCGTATGTTTTGTTTTTATTTTGATTATGAACTAGGTTGGATTTTAGGCCTATGTGAAAAGGTGCCCAGTCCAGAATGACAATACTGCCTAAAAAACAACTCCCTGAGGATGACAGAATTAATCGAGCGAGCATTTTAAACTCCAAACTGTTCTCAATACCACTAGATTGCAAATGCTCCGGCTGACTTCCGAGTCTAGATAGTTCTTAGTCACGGAGTTCTGGCGGAAAAACTAAATTGGAAAAAGAACGACGCGACCCATTGAGAAGTCCAGTAGCGGAATATACAGGGGAAGTCGTAGGTAGAGGGCATACCATTGACCGAATTTTCCTCGAGTAAAATAGAGTTACAGCTAGTTGTCGGTTTGGTTGACTTTCTTTGACTGAACTTCAATTTGCAGAGCCTAAAATTCATGGTCTCTGCAACGACCGTGGAAGAGAAACAAGGTTTAGAAGAGCAAATAATCCTTCAAAATGGTATTTGACTTGATGTCCAAACAATGAATATTAGATAAGAAAAAATATTTTTGCGTTCAAAGGGGGATGTTCAGTAAATGAAACATGGGAGGGGTGCATACTGCAGAACGATGGGCGACAGCCCCACAAAATGAATAGAGACTGCATCGCCACGTGCGTACCACGTGTACACTGGATGTCAACGTGCATGGCCAGGCCGCCTCTTCCGCCAAAGCTTGCTCTTTATCTTGTTAGAGGCATCCAAAGCTTGTAGGTGTTCACTAGTTACGTTACCAGGATTAGTTGCGTGCAAGCAGGTCGCCTTAGCACTCTTGTCTAATAACAGTGAACATAAAGTGGGTGGGGTTCACTCCTACCTCTCTCGGACCTTGAAGTCGTTTCTCCTTGAATTTTGTTAACCTCATCCTCTATAGTCTCATCCAAATGCGATCGTCGCTAATTCGCGTACTATCAGAACTTCATAGGACGGTAACTGCCACATCACGCCCCGTCATTTCTATAATGAGACACTTCAGCGAAGTATCGGACTGTCCCGCGCCCGAACATATACTATGCTACTCATAAGCGCTACACTGTTTAGGTGCATGCGGGTCTCAATACGGGTGTTATTTATCTTAATAGTTTACACCGTTTTTGTATGTGGTCAAGAGGAGACAAAGGACGAAGCTACACTGAAAAGCGACTCAAAGGATGAAGAAGATCTCAACAAGAAGGACAATTCAACAGCCGCACTACCGCGTTGCGAGCACATCAACCCATACTAAAAAGTGGTTTCTGAGATGATAACAGATTGAAGAGACCTTGATTACCAGACTTGCGATTGAAAAGGTCCTTACTCAAGAATGAAAAGCGGATAAATTTGCTTCAAACTATCATTCACACAGTTCGCATCAGTAGAAACGCAATCGGCAGAATGGTTACCGAAGTAACCACATGATATACAGGATTATCACATTAATAGAATAATCCCACTCACATGCAAAGATTATTAACATTGTGTGTATCATACTCTCTTCTAGTGGCCGTTTCAAGCCTGACGTCCATGCATGAATATCCTCAAAAAAGACATGTAATCACAAGTCACATCGTTCACCGACGATCACCAACGATGAGGTTAGCCTTACCCCTTTTACTACCAGCGAGGAATTCTAAAATCCTACGGCGGAAGCGATTCGACTAAAAGAGGAGAGCGCAAATCGGGCGGACCAAGATAGTGCACCCCTAGTCAGCTACTTGGTGCCAGGAAAGCGATGTAAGACGCTCTCACAACCTGAAAGGTGCGCTGGTTGCTGAGCAGGACTTCGAAAGCGCTCCGCCCCCAAAAGCGATCCGCCCACTGGTTTACTTGTTGATTTGGACGAGCTGCGTGGCCAGCAGCGGCGCAAATGGAGCATCTCGATCAATGCGCTGCGGTTTCTTCCATACGTCCACTTTTCTCAATCTGTTTGCCTGTTTACGAGTGGAAACAGACCAAGTGGCCAAAAAAGGGGTCCTCGCTTTTGTAACGTTTTCTCCTGACGATTCTCGTTGTTCCTTGTGCTGGGTACCACTGGAGCACCCAACACATCCACTACCTCCTTACATTATAGCAATCGCTGCCTGCTTAATTTCATTTTTCTCCGAAACCTAGAAATCTTAACAATCTAATCGGAGCCAAGTCTCCACTTGCAGAATCTCCCTTCTTGGGGCATTGCTTTTGAAAATACATCGTGCATGAAACGAACCAAATCCAGTCCTGATTCACCCACACTGGTCATTGCCTGTTCGCCGGTTAGAGAAATTAGGGCAGGGTATGTCTTGTGTCTTCGAGCTCTTCCAAAGTTCCGTGGAACAGCTCAGTGCATGACAGTTGAAGCTCTTTTTTAGCAACAGGTACCGTCTTATAACAAATCAACAGTTAATCTGCAGCTTAATAAAATCTACCATGCGTGTAGAGTTGGCCAATGTCTCAAGCCCACAGACGTTTACAGTGACAGCCAACGTGAGGCCCTTTCCCTCAACTTGCCATACCGACTCCAACCCGACGCAATATAGAAAACTAGAAAGGTGCGGAGTCTGCTGGAAGAGCTCGTGAAGGCTCTGAACTGGCCGTACCTTGGTTTATTAGTGCATCTCACAAATACTGAAGCGGATTCAGTAGAACCTTCGCTGGAGTCTTCTTAACGTCAGTGATGCTCCAATTTTTAGGAAAGGACGTACTACCAGTTCGGGTTTCGAAGTTTCGCCTTCGATGTGATGGCCAGCGATCGACTCGGTATGCGCAGAGACCTTGGCCATCAATGCCATGAGCTGTGAGGTCTCCCAAAATCTGAGCTTTTCAATTTGATTCATTTTGATTCAACACTTATTAGATGCCACAACACAACGTTCGAAGGTGAATTCTCAACATCTGTAGTCATCATTCACCACAACGAGGCTCTATCGGTGCTTCTGCGAATGCTTACAGGTATACTGTAGTCAAACCCTTCATATTAATCCATTATCGATTAAGTTTGCCAAGGTTACTGTAATAGATGAACGTGGCCCATTCAAAACAAACCCTCTGATATGGCGCATCTGGGTGTCGGCCAGGAGCTGGGTCAACCACCGCTCTCTGCTCGTTTTCGAAATTTCCCAACCCTGGAGGGAACTGGTCCTTTCACCACCCCCGATCACCCTCGCCATCATGGCTGTTCCTATAGTATTTGAGGCGCTATCATAATGTACGGGGGTACCCTTCAAGACTTATCCTGAGGGCTGGCAAGAACTCCGGGGGAATGAAAATGGCTGACCCACCTGGAGTCTCTCCCCTCTGCCTAAGGCTGAGTCCCATTCTAAACAGAAAGGAGATGTCTTACGCGGTCTTGAATGCACTGCCACCCAATGCCCCCGCATCTTGCGGTAGCGCTATATTTTTCTGTTAGACCAGTTGACGCACTGTACTCCTGTCCTCAATATCCCTTCAAGAATTGTCGTTGACCGAAAGGAGGAGGGAAGAAGACAAGAGGGACAGCAAATGTCCAACATTGACCCTGACCCTTGATGATTTTTTCGTGAGTGAAAATTTTGCCAAAGTTATCGAAACCCTGTTGAGGACGACCCCTCTCTCCCTCCACTACAAAACACTCCAACTACCGATCTTCTCCAAAATCTCGAATACGACCTCTCCTCACAATCACAATAGGCAAAACCAGAAATACTACCACTTACCGAAAATCCCAACTAGGACCCAGCGTTGATGAATGCTCATGCGGTTGATCGGTCAAGAAGCCGCTTGCGGCTCGCGCGGCGGCGTTGTGAGTTGGGCGCGACATCTTCCTCACTCGCCGCTTTCAGCGTGCGGCAGTGCAGTGTGAGCCTCTTGACCTACTCCCGGTTTTTCTGTACTCTTTCGAAAAGACAAGACCATAGAAAAGCTCATACAAAGCAGGATATGTTGAGCGATTCTCGATTTCTGAGGGAATTAAGCTCAGAACTCCATCAATTCCAACGAATGAGCACTTTGCAGGCATTTTCGAGCGAACACCTGCTCACCTACTCCATGAAGTGATTTTGTATGAGGATGCCAGCGAAGAAGAACACAAACTCTCCGACTACCTCAAAACCTTTGCCATTACGAGTGGATGGAATGATAAAATAAGAGTGGAAAGGAGCGAGGAGCGCCAAGGTCTCATCAGGGCTAAGGTAAATTACCAGACTATTGCTTTCTAACTTTTTATAGCAAACTCAGGTTCACTGATTTTAGACCCTTGCGTCCCGCCTTGCCACAGGTGAAGTGATCGTTTTTCTGGATAGCCACTGTGAAGTCACAGAACGTTGGTTGGAACCACTGCTGGCTGCGATCGCGGAGAAACCACAAAAGGTGATGGACGCCAAATGACAAGGGCATGAGACAATATTGAGAATTAACGGGGGCGGATTCTATTGAAACAAACACCCTTCACTTTTGGAGTGGCCAGCGCGCCAAGTGAATTGATGGCGAGTTGACTAAAACAGAGGTGAAGCAAAGAAAACCGTCAGTGATGCCCCAAACAAGAATTTCCTTTGAACTATAGGGAAGGGCGGAGCCAGACGAGTTGTACGAATTTCTCCGCTCCACGGCTCCACTCACCCGCGCGTGTTGGAATTGGCCGCTACGTCGCAATCCACGTTGGGTGTCATGAGGGGCGACGTAACCCGTCCATACTTTGAAATTATTCGCCACAAGTCAAATTTACAAGTTACGACACCCTTGGGCTAACCCCACCCACTGAATAAATTTCTCGTCACTTCTGCGGGGGATATTGCTTTAAGATCACTGCGCTTTCCCTAGGTTTAGGCTGTCCTAATTCGGGGGAATGGACATATCAATGGTTTAGTCAAGAAGGTATCCTCCCGACTGTATGGGCCGGACTCAGACCAACCTACGCCTTGGTGGGGGCCCACCTTTTATTCGGCATAGGAGTCCACCAATGGGCAAAGCGCAGGGATCTGTTTGAGTCTAGCTTCTACACGTTCCATCCTGACAATGTCTTCCTCCCATTTTCTTAGCCGGCCAAAAATGCCTGCCTTTAGAAAAACCTAGAATTGATGGATACCCCTGTCCACTTTCTTTGAACGTTCTCGTGATTCGGTGGTTGGAGGGGGTGACATGTCTCGTTCCACAAATAGGTTTTGAGAAGCTTACAGTAAGCGCCACTTCCTTCCATTAAACAACTCAAAAATATATTCTCCGAGAATTCGTTCGACAATTCAAGACTAAGAAAGCACTTTCTAGCGTCGTGTTGCCGATTGTCGACCTCATTCATCCGCTGACGTTCGACTACTCGAAAGCGATGATCTCCAAGAGTGGTTTCGATTGGTCGCTGAACTTCAAATGGGTCTACATACATGGGCATTACTTTAGACATCAAGGAAAAGCAACGTGAAACCAATTCGAGCTGTGAGTTCAACGCTAGGCGCTTTGCAAGATACGGCGGTATTCGTGTGAGGAGTGAGCCTATGAGCGCGACAGGAACGTCCTAGACGGATGAACATCAGTTCAACATACCCTGGAGCCTACCTCTTTCTCGCCTGAGGCTGTCAGTCTCATTAACCAAAATCCGTTAAGCTATCTTTTGTTTATTAATTGTTTGAGGGGGGCTTCCAGGTGCACCGCCCACCTACAAGCCCGTATCATTGTGATAGCGCCCCAACCTTCGATTTTGACAGAATGACCAACATTTAGCCAGAAAATTGCCCCTGTATACTGAATAGCGCTTTCTATTCTACTGACTTCCATTACTGGCTATATTAAGATCCCCGTCGATGTCCGGTGGACTGCTGGCTGTTCGAAGTGAATATTTTTCGATTCACTGGGTGAATATGACCATGGGGTATGCGGAAATATGGGTGGCGAGAATGACTTGACCTTGCTCCTCAAACAGGTGAGTTTAGTTATTTTGGGGGCCTAGAAGTAGATTAGAACACCAGCAGTGAGCAATACCATCACTTAGGGGGGGGGGGGGGGGGGACATGGATGTGCGGCGGTGCGGTAGTGGTTGGCGCCAATGCAGCCGATGTTGGGGCACGTTGTTGCCGAACTATGCGGCCTTACAAAGTAAGACAACTCAGGACACCAAACCTGCTACAATTCCACTGCGAGTGGCTGACGACTATGGCCTACGAAAGTACGAAGGGTGACGCGGAATACGGCGAGCATGCCTTATACAGAATTGAAATGGACCAAATACTTTCAGACAATACTTTATGCGCAGCTCGCCCCTCGGCAGCAAAAATGGATTTTGGAGATGTGAGCCTCGGGCTTGAGCTGAAGAAGCGTCTTGACTGTAAGGACATGGATTGGTATTTGGATAATGTGTATCCAGAATTAAAACCGTCGGAAGAACAGGAGAAACACGAAGAGTTATGAGGCCTTTTACTATTGTGATTCGAATACTACCTCGCCTAGAATAGTTTATGGTTAGAGATTTAATTGTTTCAAGCTTTGTTTGAGCTATGAAATATCCTCATCGTCGCCATAGATCATTGATCACAGTGCTTTAGAGTGGTATAGTCCAAAAAGAATAAAGAATAAAGAAACCAACGTGCTTTCGTGACTTAAAAAAGGGAGAAAGTGGATAGAGGTTAGGCAACGAAGAACAAGGATTCATTGCTGAGCGGTGGGTAGTATGACGTTCACCGAAGTGGGCGGAGTCTTATGAATCGAATGAGACGGTCCAGAGCCTGGGTAAAAAAGCTGCTCGTGCTGGACAGGGAAGGTCGAAGGCAGGGTCGGGTCCTATCGTTCGTACTTTTTACAAAGTTTTTGCAACCCCCCTGCTTCACGAGAAGTTTCATACGACCCGCTTTTCACAACACTGGGGTTTCCCTCAAAAATACCGTCGAGCGGGGGTTAACTTCCATGAAACTCAAAATTTCCCTACAATTCCCCCATATTTCCCTTCTGTTTCCCCCACTTTCCCTCCTTTTCACATATACAGTGCGTTTCATAATTATAAGCTCCCCCTCAAATTTTGCAGTTCCAGAATAAGTAGCCATTTAGGAATTTTTCTAGCATTATCAACGGATTCCCCAGCACGAATAACCCCCGTTTCCAAATTTTGGCAGCAGCATCATTTTTCTGAACTTTTTTATAACAGTTTTTTCAATTTTACAGCGTTTCATAATTATAAGCCCTCCCTGAGAAAATAAACAATTAATTATGGAGGACAAGAAAATTCGTGTTTCAAGGGACTTGTAAAGGCTAGAATATGTAGCAAATGCATCTCCAATTCTTATCACCAAATGGCTCGGGGTCGCCTGCTATCTTCTGATGAACAGGCTCAGATTAAAGCTCTTCGTGAAGCTGGGCTTAGTAAGAAAGCCATTTCCAGACAATTAGGAAGATCTGTCTGCTCCATTCGAAGAGTATTGGAAAGACAAGACGTCTACAGATGCAACACAAGCTCTGGACGCCCACGAAAGATTACAGCCCACGATGAGCGAAGAATTCTGAGGGCTGTTTCCAACAGCACCTCCTCATTGAACCAGATACGATCGGAGTTAAACCTTTCCGTGTCAAAAACTACGGTTTGGAGAGCAGTGAGGAGAAGCGAGGACATCGTCAGGCAAGCTTTGAAGAAGGCGCCACGGATTACCGACCGCCACAGAGAGGCTCGACTAGAATTTGCAAGGTTGAACTTAGGAAGAGATTGGACGAAGGTAAGCCTGCGTCACAATCTCACCATACAGCTAAACAATTTCGTTCAGGTCGTGTTTTCGGATGAAAAAAGTTCAATTTGGACGGACCTGATGGAAACAAGTACTACGTGACCTGCGCAAGGAGCCGGTTCACTTCAGCCGTCGCAATTTTGGTGGAGGAAGTGTGATGGTGTGGGGTGCATTTTGCAATGACGTCGTGCTCGAGCTAGCCTTCGTGAGCTGCAGAATGGACTCCAAGGAATACCAGAACGTCTTAGAGCATCATCTGGTGCCCTTTCTGAGCCGGGGTCGTCATCATAATTATGTCTTCCAACAAGACAACGCTGCCATTCACGTAAGTCGTTCAACAAATGAATGGCTGCGATCCCAAAACATAAGCGTTCTGCCATGGCCAGCCTGCAGTTCCGATCTCAATCCGATGGAGAACATCTGGGGCATCATAGTCAGAAAGGTTTACGCGAACAATCGTCAGTTCCAGAGTACGG